ATGCATGGATAAAGTTTTTTTTTTTTTTTTTTTCTACTGGTTTTTATTGGTATTTATCTAGCATTTAATAAGCCGTAAACACTAGTAAATTCCGTCTGGGCTGCCTCGCCACAGGAAGAAAACTGAATATTATTTAGCACATTATTCAATATATTGATTGTTTGACTAGTATCAACACAATAATCTGTTTATAACAGTTTATGTGTGTGTGTGTGATTTTATATATATATATATATAATAAAATAACATTAGTACAGTTTAAAGCTGAAATATATATATAAAAAAAATCTATTGTACTTTCTGTATTCTAATCAATTAAATATTTTTGCTTGTTTTGCTTGTACTGTAAATTTCTTGTATCCTTTTAAGAAAAAATTATTAAAAACGTTTTTCAATGCGCTCCTAAATTTTCAACAAACATACTTCTTGGGGAAAAAGTAAGCGTCAAGCCCTGCATTGAGATCTTCATGCATTGAGTGATTTATTCAGATCAAATAGTTTTAAAGTTGTGCATTGTTTTGCCTTTGTCCCAAGCATTTTATACCGTGGAGACCTAATTTTCCACTGTCTCAAGAGTGATAACGCTCTAAACGCTGTTGATTCTAACCGTCCGACCCGACACGCACATCCTTCATTGAAGCAGAGATCAGTGAAGCTCTGAGTGTGATGTGGATGAGAGCGGCAGGCCGAGGCTCTCAGGGACATTCACAGAAATCACTGAGCTCTCATTCCTGTCTAAATGTCAGCGAGCTTCCACGGCTTTTGTGTAAACACAGCTGTAGCCATAGATCAGATTCAGAAACATTCTCTCCCTTCCACCAGCCCCTTTTTCCATCTACTTTTTCTGCTGTAATGGTTTCACTCACTCTCTGCTCTTTCTTGCCCATCTCTCCATCACTAGGTTTATTTTTGGACGGCTATTTTTATTGTTCCTGCTCTTAAGTCCTGATGTCAAATGTCCAGAGATATAAATGTCATCACTGTGTTTTAGTATCATAGTTTAAGATCTTAACAGGCATCTCTGTCTGTCTGTCAGCATTATCAAGATGTTCTTCCCATACGCCAATATGATGCATTTTAACATGATAAACTTGAAATGTTGTGATGATCATGCATCTTTCTGCAATTGCGGTGACCACTTTTGAATGTTATACATATAGTCTTAATTCGTTTTAAATTTTTAGAGTTCAAAATGTTCAAAATAAGTTTGAAAGCAATTTATTGTTAAATATAAAATCATAGAAGTCAGATTCTAATGAAAATTTTAGTGTAACCGCTGTTACCACAATATAAAAAACACCAAAAGGACTTTGAGGAACACTTAAGTTCTTCCTTATGCTAATGGCCATGTGTGGTGAGGCGATATGTTACAAGTCCATGAATTTTGAATTTTTGAAGGGCCTTTTTAAAGGTGCCCTATTATGCCCCTTTTTACAAGATGAAAAATAAATCTCTAATTGTCCCCAGAGTGTGTATGTGAAGTTTTAGCTCAAAATATCCCACAGATAATTTTTTATAGCTTGTTGAAATTGCCACTTTTAGGGTATGAGCCAAAACACCCATTTTTGTGTTTGTCCCTTTAAATGCAAATGAGCTGGTGCTCCTGCCTCCCTTTTCAGAAGAGGGCGGAGCTTCAAGATCTCATGCTCCAGCCTAGGGCTGGGCGATATAGCTAAAAAATGTATCAACGATATAATGTTTCATATTATCAACGATATAAGGTATCGATAATTATTGACATTTTTATAACCTTTTTTAAAATAAAGAGCAACAGAAAAAATGTTTACATTTAACCATTGTATTTTTAAATTAACTCAATTTATTGAGACAACTATTTTTTTTGTTGTTTTGTTTTAACAGTCAAACATAAAATAAAAATTAAACAAATATCTAATTTCTAATGTTTTATATGCAGATTAAATAGGTTAAACTTTTGGCTTGTTCCCGAGGCCACAGGAGGGCCTAATGAGCAAAATAATGCAGCACATTAAATTGCAACGCAAGGAAATAACTGTCTATAAAAAACGTGCATTACGTCTAAATTAACTCATATAAATCAAATATAATTTCGTAAATTGCATAAACAGTTATGAACAAAACAGCATCACGTATTTATGCATTGCTTAATACAAAGAGCCGAAGCACCGATCGCACAGATTGCCTTTAAAAATATAAGAGACGCAGTGAAAAGGAATAAACCTCCACAGATTCGTGACGTGTTTTCTAAAAGTTTAAACTGTTTTAACTTTGCATGGCTTTCTATACATCTCTTGTGTGAGACGCGAGTGCAGCAGTCATATCTGTCCGTCTAAAAAATGCGCTGAATTTGCATTCTGTGTGAATGGCTTGGCTTCGGTTTCCACCTAATCAAGATCTTTTACGCATTGAGCTACTATATTTCTCTAATATTTTGAATGAATAACGCAGCAACTGTGCGTCTCGTGGGCTAGACTAACAAAACATTAAACTACAACGTCACTTACATCATAACCGCATCTCGCGCTCCACTGATGACGCTCCCTGACGCGCACCTAACATTGGATTGTACTATTTTTGCATTCTAATGCAAATATTTATTTTAAATTCGACTAATATTCATTTTTTATTATTCACAATCTCCTCATCACAGGCAGGCACAGCACTCATGTTCGTGTTTGTGTGTGCTGTCTGCGTCACTCATAGCACGTGCCTATATCGTGCACTATATCGGAAAAATTTTATATCGTTATCGAAGGTGTACCATCGATAAATATCGATACCGTTTTATCGCCCAGGCCTACTCCAGCATACCAGTAACAACAAAACAGGACAATCTCATGCAATCTGATTGTACTGTGCAGTAAATGCGCGTTTATGAATTACACAGACGGGGAGCACGGCGCGATAAAAATAACGACATAGCTGGTCTCATGTTGCAAATTCAAATTTCAAGCGGTCGACTACACATTGCTTTCATATGCAATTTTTAACTGCTTAAAGCGGACCTATTATGCCTCTTTTTACAAGATGTAAAATGAGTCTCTGATGTCCCCAGAGTGTGTATGTGAAGTTTTAGCTTAAAATACTCCACAGATTGTTTTTTATAGCTTGTTTAAGTTGCCACTTTTAGGGTATGAGACCAAACGTGCTGTTTTTGTCTTTGTCCCTTTAAATGCAAATGAGCTGGTGCTCCCCGCCCCCTTTTCAGAAGAGGGCGGAGCTTCAAGAGCTTGCACACCGGCAACACACAACAATCTCACGCACTGAAACTGTCAGAAACTCTGAAGCGATCGACTCGCATTACTTTCATATGCATTTTTTAACTACCACATTCCTATTTACGATCATTCTGGTAGCATGTGAAGGCAGCATCAGTGAAAACAGGCAGAGACAATGGTAGCTTTAGCAACATTAGCCTTACAGAGTGCCAAGAAGCTCTTTAGGAAAACAAAATATGACGCGGGATGCTTACTTTGTCTGGAGCTGAAGTTCGCGCACAAAGCGTTGGTATCGATCCCTCTTTCAGAAGCAATCTTTGCACAACTCCAGCGCTGAACTGACCCTCGCTTGTGAGGCAGTCCGGCGTAAAATGATTCGCACAAACATACTGGACTTTTTTTCTGGGACATTTCCTTCGAAAATGAAATTTAACCACCATGTCCTCAGCAGTCTATGGAGACTCCTATGTTCGTTGGTGCATCCCAACACACAACACTTGTAATGCCTCTTTGGTGCTGACATTGTATCTCCAGCAGCTACAGCAAGAAAACGGTAATGGCGGACCGCTGCTTCTCACTCAGGGCGGGGTCTATGCTAGTAGGGCAGAGAGTGTCACAAATGGGTGGGATTTTCCCGAGTATGACGTCATTATAGGGAGAAATCTGGAACTGCTCGTTTGGAGAGGCTGTTTATGATTTATTGGGATTATAAAAAAATTAGTGGGTGGATTTTTACCATTACAGGCTGGTTGTTTTCACACTGCGGCCACACAACTGTGTTCAAACACCTTATAAAAGTGATTTTTGCATAATAGGTCACCTTTAAATCTTCAGTTATCTTATTTATGCTATATAACCCTGCAGCACCATTTATTTGTTTAATGAGATTGTTGGAAATATTGATATACCATTGATAAGATCAATGGCAAATTATCAGTAAATTATTGTTTTCTAGTTTTAATGATGTTCAAATGCTGTTTAATGTTGTCACCCTAATTCTCATGCAGTCCTTCTGTTTATTCGTAACTACAGTACTTTGTTAAAAGGATAGCATGACTTTAGTTTCACTAGTTTAAATTATAAGTATCTTAATATAAATCAGAGAAATTTACTCTAAAAAAAAAATCTGCATCTGTGGTTGCCAGAACTTTACCATAAGAAATATGGTAGCAACATTGCACTTAAACTTGCAGTAAAAAAGCCTTTTATTTCATTAACTTGAAATAATGTAATGTACTAAATATATACCTATATACCAATAAACTAAAATCTATTTTTTAGTTTTATAAATAATATACTGACAACCCTGTTAAAAACACAGGTGGTCATGAGAAAGTCACACTATGAATCGAAGTTCATCACAAGTAGCTTTTCCACATACTGAGGTGAATACTAATGTACAGAAGATGCACGGTTTCATGCACACAAATACAAATCACCATCATGGTAACACAAATGACATGAAATAATGTAATAAACATTCATATATCAACATAACCATATGTACAGAAGAAACCGTAATTTAAATGAAAAACTATTAAATGTGAGCTGGGAAAGTAACAAAGATGTTCTTTTCACCAAAAAACTATTAATTTAACAGTATTTTACTGTAAAATGACATGAAATGTCACAATATATATACGAAAGTAAGGGAACTTGCCGTTAACCAATGAACCGGTTTTTACTGTAGCATATGTGTTTTGCCAATAAAATTATGATTATTATTTTTTTTACAGTGTAGCTTTATAGTGTATCATACATACAAGCATCATGTTGTTGTGTTTTATCCCCCCGCACTCACAGATGGAGACGGAGCCCATTTCTCTTGTGGGTGAATCTGTGTGCGAGGCGTCCCGTGACGTCCCTGTGCTTCCTAACGGATCATCCATGACCTCCATCAAAAGTGAGGTGCAAAGTGAGAAGCTGACCTCAGAGAAGCTGCAGGAGATTGAGGACGAGGAGATCCTGGACAAAATGGTACTGCAGTTCTCCTGCTGTTAGATACAGACATCACCAAAAAAAAAAAAGGGTCGTTCTTTATTTGTGCTGGTGCATCCCTACTTTGCAACAGTTGAAATAAACTTTCAATACCAATAAATCATAAAATGTTTGCACATTTGTATTCTGTAGTGTGAACATTTGTGCATGGTTAAAAGGACAGTGCACAAATATGAATTATACAAAATTTAAATACATAGCGATACATTTTTTTATTAAAAAAAGAACAAGCATTTTTACAAATCTGTCTCTCGTTTGCCACTGCAACTCAAAAATGTGTCATGATGCTCCTGCAGAGAGCACAGGTTTAAATTTGGCTCGCAGCATTCCCGAAACTTTATAATTTTCATGAAATGGTCTTCAGATTCTCTCTTTTATTTTAAGAAATTAAAAGATATTACAATTTGCCTTATTTACTTTTTAATACAAATTACAGGTTTTATTGTGCAGGAAATGTAGTATAGCTATTCTGGTGCAGCTGCACACAGTCAACAAGGGGCATGGAAGGAGAAAGCAAAAGTATTTTTTAACCTGTTAGTGCCCATGGTACACTGCGTGTTTTTGAGGGTTGAAACCATTAAGATTTAAGATACCATCAACACAGCAGGTACAATCAGTGTCTTTGTCAGACCACCAACAAGGCTTCATGCTGTGATCCCATTGTGTTTTCCAGCTAATAGCTCCCAGCTGTAGTCATCTGCAGGCATCTGTTTACAAAAAAAAAAATGTAGGCAGAATGTTTTCTTCCGTTTTTTCCAGTGTGTTCAAAGTTCTATTGCTCAATACCAGTAAGACTTACAGTGATTCTCAGGTTTGTAAACCTCAAAGTTTCACCTTTCAAAAGAGACCAAAACCACGCATATACTCCAAATGGTTCAGGAACAGCATACAGTTTACTTTGGGTATGCTAAGGGGTTAAAACAAAACAAGCAACACTATTCAGAGAATGGAATTGAAAAAATCGCTGTTTATTTCGCCAACACATTTCGGCACACGGGCTTTCATCATGTTATTGTGCATGATTCATCAATTCAGTATTACAAAGGCGATACTTATCAGTACAAAAGTACAGTGAGTTTCTGTATTATTGTTGTTGTTATTATTATTAATTTGTATTTATTTTTTACAGCTTGATGATTGCAAAGACTTTGAAGAAAGGAAAATGATCAGGACTGCAATGAGAGAACTGCGAAAGAAAAAGCGAGGTGATTATATCTGCCTTTGTTTTCTTGTACAGCACTTATCTCTCCTTCTCCTCTTCTTTCGTTATTCTCTCTATATACTGAGGGGCGTCAACATATAAAGTCTGAGTTCTCAGTGCCAGACTGTCTGTCTTCCTCACTTCCCTTCTGTTGAGTGCTGTTTCTCTCTCTTTGCTCTCAGAGGCTAGGCTGGGATGCACACAGGAGGAAATGGGTAGGGTTTCTGGATTGTGTGTGTTTTTGCCCTACTGGCCCTTTGCTAATGCCCAGGGCCTTGGTGAAGGGTCAGTTAGGCTTCATTTGGCTATTGACTTGGTTTGTATTTGCAGAGACGGTATGTCGTTTTTAATGTGCCACGTGTGATTGGTGTGATCTGGTCATGTTGTTTGACCATGCATGACATTTATGTGTTTTGTTATCATATGGTACTGCTTGCTTTGTGTTTGCTTGATAAAATGTACAAACATATGTTCATCTATTGGTGTGGGGGTGTGCGATATTGACTAAAAATGATATCTCTGTATGTTCTGGGGTTTTGTCAATAATTAGACGATATTTTGCTGAGTTCGTGCTGATACTTTGGCTGGTTTGGGCCTGCCATGGACAAGCTTTTTCAGTGCGGTGATTTCCAGTGGCATTTTTACCTTATAAAGGCAATTTCTTCTAACCTTATTAGATGTGCGCATCATCTTTTATGTCAAACTCTTAAATTAATTGGCTGTTACCAATCAAATTAGATCAATATCAACAAAATCCATTTCTGCACTGCAAAAGCTGCCGATTTGAGTGACATTTAGATGTATTTACACAGACTGTTTAATGCAGCTCAGAGGTGGAATGAATGCATTTACACAGCTGCAGTGTAAATTAGTTACATTGCAGTTACAACTGCATAAATAATATGAAATTATATTTTAAATATGAATCTAAAACCACCAGTAGGTGGTGATAAGTTGCTGTCTTAACGAGTCTCTTGAGTCATTCCTTCAGCTGATTTGTTCAAAACTTCAAACGGTTGATTCATTAAGGAACGAAGCGAATGAATCATTGAATCACTAACCCGAGTTGTTCAAAAATTAAGCATCACTATCTTTTGCTCAGAGACACACAAGAGTTCTGCTTTAGCTTTGTTTGAAACTGTTTTCTTTGGCAAAATAGAGTATTGATGATGACAGTAATATTGATAATATTTTTCAAATGTAACTCGCAATATTAACCTTATGTTTACTGAACTGTTGTATAAAATGAATGTCATTTGTTATCATAATTTGCAGTCGTGCTGATATTCAGGAAAAAACAACATGACCGCTCACACATCGTTAAAACGGCAATTGCGATATTATTGTAGATGATAAATATTGCACACCCCTACTATGGTGTTAATCTAAGATCTTAACGCTTTCACACAAGTGCTTTGAACGTGATACTGATAGAATCTGAAGCGTGTGATTTCTGTGCCACTAGAGTTGCAAAAATGATGGTTTCAAACTGGTTTCTTGAACGCACTCCCTAGTCAGATAGTCTCACCCGTGTTGATCATGATCACCCATGTATTGTGCATCCCTGATCCATCCTCCATCTTCACCCTGATTTCTCTTCCCTTCATCCTGACGCTGTTCATTTTGCCCGTGTCCTCAGACCAGAGAGAGAAGGAGCGAGATCAGCGTCTGCTGGAGCTCAGGCAGCAGCGGGAGGAGAGATCTCAGAAAGCCCGTGTGGGTGCAGACACCAGTGAGGTCGTGGTGAAGAAGATCGAGCGCTCCACTGACGGCTCCGCTATCAGTCACATCACCAGTCGCGTTTCCCATTCAGGTAGCAGAGCTGTAATGTAGTGAACTCTGCTTGCTTCATTTTATTTTCCCCCTGCGGTCCACTTAAAACTCAAGGTTTATGTTCAAGATTTTGCACCAAAAACAGTCATAGTTTAGTTTTACAAGACCCTAGGAATAAATTAAGGTCTATTTAATATCAGCAGACTCCTTTTTACACTTTTAAGAGCCCTCCAACATGTATTTGTGTACCTTTAAAATTGCATTCAGGTGAAATAGGTGCATGCATTTTAAAAACCCATAGTTTTTGGTGCAGGAATGAAACTTTGGAAATGGGTTAAGACTATCAAATAACACATCCTTTTTTATGAGATATCACCAAAAAATATATATTATGTAATTACAACACGTATTGTGTTCCAGGTCAATTTTGAACCGGGTATCAAATGACGCTTCACACATGATGATATGCCGACTTTTTTAATCTGTTGGTTAGATTTGTCTCAAAAATAGTTTGGTAAAATATATCCAGTCTCTTTCCCATATATCTCACACACTTTTAGGACTGATTTGTGTTGGTAAACATGAATATGCACACACAAGTACTATAAACAGACAAAAGATGTAACAGACATAACAGATCAACTATATTTGGACTGCTTTTAAGTAGCCATGAGTTATAAGTTCAAAGGAATTTATTAAATCCAGTTGATACTGGTATTTTTCAGATTATATGTTCTTATACATTTCATATAATGATATATTCAAATTAAATTTCTCATACTGAAAAAAATGATGGCTGTCAAAATTAATGTGTTAATTGTGCAATTAATTTTTTTCAGTTTAAGGCATTAAAAATATTTAACGCAATTAACGGAGCATCCATTTTTTCCCCAGCATCCTTTGGCTAGTGTTACAGTAGACCATATGAACACGCACTTAAGCATGATAAGTCGCAAAAGAGAGCTGTCTGTGAAGCAGCTCTCTGTGAAAACGCACTTAAGCATGATAAGTCACAAAAGAGAGCTGTCTGTGAAGCAGCTCTCTGTGAAAACGCACTTAAGCATGATAAGTCACAAAAGAGAGCTGTCTGTGAAGCAGCTCTCTGTGAACACGCACACAGAAAGCCAGAAAGCTTCAGCCAGCACGCCAGTAGTGCACTGAGTTCTCTTTCACAGACAAAACACCAAAAAAAATTGTCAAATGCCTGTTTTTGGCGAGTGACCTAGTAAAACCATCTTAAATGTTAAAAAGTCCTAAATGACCGTAAAGAGTTGGGAGAAAGTCGGATGTGTGTCAGATCCACGTCACATGCATCAGGTTTTAAAGAGACAGCACTGCTTTTAAAGTGAAACCTGCTGCTGTCTGTATCATTTCTGTAAATCAAAGAACAGAAGAAAAAGAGAAATCACTCACTGCTCTTCGCTGATTGACTTTTGTAGCTTGAATAAAGTTGAATCTCTGTTCAATTTATAGTTTATATGAAGATTGTTTTAATTTCACTTAAAATTAAAAGTTGTTATATTTTTCAATGCCTGTTAAATGTTAAAAATAATGACTTTCAGTTATACTGTAATGTTGAATGGCTATAAAGCTATAAATAAGTTCCCAACATTTATGGAAAACTGCATTTAATAGAGACATCAGTAGCAGGATTGGTATCAGTGATACTGGCCTTCATTAATAATAACTTTGTAAAAAGATGCAATTAAACACATAACTAATATATATACAATCTTTGTTGTTTCTACATTAATTTGGAGATTCAATGTGAAATTATGACAATATAAATAAACTATATTAATATCGCAATTAATTACAGAAAAATGTGTGATCAATTAGTTATTTTTTTTTAATCTAGTAAGAAAATAAAAAAAAATTATACTTTTTTTTTTTTTTTTTTTTTTGTTTCACACTGTTT